AAAATTTTCAGATTGAAATTTTTGCAATCTGAAACTGAACTGAAGTTGATCTGAACTGAAAATTTTTGGATTAATCTAAACCGTTCAGAGCTTTAATAACTATATATCGTAAATAAGAATACAATTTGTTTATGAAATAATTTAAGCTTTATTTAAAATAAAATCAAATCGGATTATTACTAACATTGCCAGAAAGCATATATTTTCAAATTAATATCTTCTGTTACTAACTAACATATAAACATAAATGAAATACATGAATTAAAGAAAAAAATTAAATCTAATATTTTAAGAATTATATCATACTCTTTTTTTTTCATTTATATTATAGTTTTTTATTAGAGTAATCTGAAATTTGCGAGTTTTCAAAGATTACTTTCTTTGAGACTTTTGTTGAATGTTTTCTCTTTCCTTATCAATACTTAGCATAACCCATTCGAAAGAAAATCAGATGATCTATTCCTATATACATCTTTAATTATATCATTTAGAGAACCTTGATAATTCTTAAGCATCCATTTTGGAGCATGAAAAGGTGCCAATGATTTCTTATCATAGAAGTTAATGGTATCATAAACTCAGGTCCATTTTTTTGGGATTTTAGAAGTTTCTGTAAATAAGTAATTAATAAATCCCCTTAAAAATAGTTGAAGCTATAGTAATATATTTTATTAATGATGCTAATCAATATTAAAAAATCAATTTTTCAGTGACCTTACAGCAGATGAGCGCCACTTCAGATCCTTAATGACAATATTGTATTTTTCATTAGAATTATCTCACAAACATTTAGTGAATGAAATGCTGAATTCTCTTTAATCGGTCGAAGTTCATGTTCTTTAAACTTTCAAATCAATGGATCATTAGCCTTTTGTAATTTTTCTATCATTCTGATTCGCATCAATAGTTTCTATAATTAAAAAAAATAGTTATAATTTAAAGAGATCAAATATATTATTAGTTCATTACCTACATCATTTCTTTAACTATTCAAGTGTTTTTGCTGAGCCTGTTCATCTTGGTAATCCGTTGTTCATTCTTTTTTTAGATGTTCTTCACACTGATGCTTGTGCTGAGCGTGAATTATATTATATAGATAGATTCTGTAACTAGGTAAATATCTGAATCCAATGATGATATTACGATTGGGACTATCATATCACTTACAAGATTGCGTTGAGCCTCAAATGTATTATTTAGATTCAATCAGTTTTCAGCTGGTATTCTTTCAATTATCCAAAATACCGCTCTCTGAAATATATTGATTCATATTAGTAAAATATGAAATTTATAAACTACAGTATATTAATCTAAATTTTACTTACCCTTAAAGCTTCTCTAAGATGTTCAGGCATATTTATTGCATCTATGTATTTTAGCATCCTCTGATGTACTGGTTGTTGATTAGATGGATTTTGTTGAGAATAGTTTGACTCGTTGCTTTCAGAATCAGAGGATCTCGAACTGATCCAGCAGTCATTGTTTTCAGAATCAGAGGATCCTGATCTAAGCCGATAGTCATTGCTTTCAGAATTAGATGATCCTGATCTAAGCCAGTAATTTTTACGACTAATTCTATTTGATTGACCGATTGTATTTTTCTATAATATTCAGCTGCAACATAATCATATGACACATCCCTTAGTATTCTTCTTTCTTTGACATTTTTTAAACTAGCAGATTTTTGAGTCCTTACTGATTGTTAAGTCATAATAAACATTTCATTGTCTATTTGTAGATCTTCCTTTTCCATAAGATCAATATCTCTTTGTTTATCTTGTTTAATTTGTTCAATAGTCATCCCTACTAATGCAACTATTATTGATAATAAAATTTGATAATGTATTATAGTATAAACAAATTGCCAATATATATAAACTACCTGAATCTTTTTCGTCATGTTGATTGGATTTTCTTTGTGATGGATTATATTTCTTTGATTTTTTAGATAATGATTTATGTGAATCATCGGATTGAGATTCATGTGATGGTGTACGATGATATTGATAGTGATACAAATGATTATATTTACTTTAATCGTGTTATTAATATGTGAAGATAGTAAGATAAAAAATGTAAGTAAGACATTTCTTATCGATCCTTATCATTATTTTTTTTATTTTTCTTATAATGGTATTTATTCTTAGGAGAAATTGAACATGAATAATGTGTAACTTTCCTTTTTTATTCACAATTTCTTAAACGACTCCTATTTCTGTTATAATTAGAATATTCTTTACCATAATGAGCCATTTTGGTTAGCAGACGAAAAAAGATATGAGTATATTTACTAAGAAAAAAAAAATCAGAAGGCAGCTTGTTGGATGAAAAGAAGTATGAATGTATTCAGCAAAGAAAAAAAAATTCATAGGTTCTTATATAGTTTATCAAATTAAGTCACAATATCACATAATCTAAATCTGTTAGAGTTAAGCATGTGATAAAATATTCATGTGAATTTCGATCGCTATTACGCCTCAAATTAGTGGTTCTAACCTTCTGATCTCAATTGATTCAATGGAACAATCCCAGTATCATTATAAAAAAAGTACTTCACATGATTTTCTAGCTAAAATTATATATTATCATGTGAAACATTGCCATAATGTCAGCCAAAAGTGACTTTTTTCATGGTGATGCTGGAAATTAGTTAGTTATTGTTGTATCAAATATGCTATCAGAGTTAAACTTTGAATAAAAATATATATATGCTATACGCGTATACGCATTAAGATTTTAAACTTATACTCATCTATTTTCAATGCTCAAACAAATAAGAAGGACTTCTAATAAATTCGATAAATTACAATCGTTTTCATCAATAGCCACTAAATCTACTAAAGTTAGACCAAAAGTTCAATGTTACTGTAAAAATGTAACAGAAAGTGGGTAGAAACTAGAACGAAACAAAAACATAAAACAAAAGAGGACCAATTACAATTAGCTGTTTTTAGACTGAGAATAAATAATGTAATAAAAAATGATTGGCCTACCATTGCTTCCAAATTAAAAACTCCTTTAATATCTGAAATGATAGAAATTCAATTGGTTGTTAGTGAATCTTCTCATAATATGCTCTATCATGTAATGATCAATTGTAATTAAATATGCGAAGATATCGATCCTAATATAGAACCTATTTCTATCAGAAAGGAGAGGCAAAGATATAATCAGTTTCGTGAAGTAGATAATGCTGATATACTTCTGGACAAAGAACTTGATCGATTAGTTAGCTCTAGCAATGAAGACGAAGATTGGTTTGACCAATCAGATGACAATAAAGATGATAAATATTCAATTGAAGATGATACTTCAAATAGACAATTTATATTCCCTGAATTTAACAATTCAGAAATCAAATCAGAATATGAATATTCTAATACGAATGCTGATTTTAGTGATATGTGAATTCTTCTTTAGATCTTCAAATATCAAGAAAGGTTTCGATTACCAGATGTGGCAATTAATTCCTTAATCAAATTTTTTCAATAGGTTTTATTGGATATCGATTTACTTCGTTTTGATAAACTTCCTTCAACTATCCACTTTGCTAGAAAGTTATTAGAAATTAAAAAGAAATCAAAACTTATGCAGTATATGATAGTTGTAACAAATTGTATAATATTGCAGAAATCATGCCATTAAAACGATCAAATAACGATGATTTAGGATTCAAATGTAATTATATTGAGTTTCCAAAGCATCTGATGCGAAATCAACGTGAACCTTATAAGGCAGAATTACTAATAAAGGTCCTGGTAATAAATGGGTATATCTGGAAGCCTAAAATAGTATATCCGTTACCTTGCTTAAAGACTCAATTAAGCAATATGTACCAATGACCAGGGTTTGAAGAATTATTAAGAAAATAGACATATAGGAATATTGAAGCTAGTATGATGTCAGATATTTACGATAGTGAGATATGGAAAAATTTTCAATCACATTCAAATACTTCAGATGCATCCCCATTTTTTATACCTGAAGCTGCTAATTTCCATCTAGGAATTATGATAAACCTAGACTAGTTTCAACTGTTTGAGTCTTCAGTTTATAGCTGTGATGTCATTTATAGTATTATATGTAATTTACTGTATGATGTTAGATTCAAAAATGAGAATGTTTTAACACTTGGTATATTACCAGGGTTAAATGAGATTAAATTACATAAAATTAACCATTACCTCACTCTGATAATCGATGAGTTATTGGAATTTTAGAACAGTTATAATTTATCGATATCAGAAAAATATTCAGTTGGAAAAAAGATTAGGATAGCTGTAATTTGTTATTCCAATGATATTCTAGCCGCAAGAAAATTATGTGACCACATATCAGCATTGGTTGGATATCATAGATGCTATAAATAGGCTAGTAGTGATGATGATAAAAGAGCAAATTTGTTTGATATTCAAATTGACAATATTACAAGTTCCAGTGGTATTGAGGTAAAAGAGCTTGAATTGCTAAACAGTCAGCCTTCAATTCAAATATAGACGAATTTTTTTCTGATAAAATCCATCAATTTTAGATGAATTCACAAAATATTAAGAAATCAAATGTTACTGGTAGTGAACTATTTCCCAGTAAATTCCTTAAACTATCATCTGATAATATAATTATTTCAAGCGAAATGCTTGATTTGATGATTGAATATTACAATACAACTTATATCACGTTTGATTTTAAAAAACCATTCAATAAGAATTCAAAAGATGGTATAACGATTCAGGTCAAAATGAATCAATTCAAAAGGTGTTAAATTGGTTCTGAAATCTTTGGATCGTCAATGTCTTTGCGACATATAAAAAATTTGTACATTTTGACCAAATTTATTATAAATAATAGTACAGTCGATTGTTATCCTGACCAAGTCTAATATTATTTTACATATAAGGTCAATTTGCCATCCGGAAAGGCTGAACATTTTCTAGCATTTGTTTATTGGTATAAACTTGCAAGTTCTCCAAATATGCGGTATTATTTTAGTGAAGAAGAAACATATAATGTTGAATTATGGGATACTGAATTTTATCTGAAAAGTTGTGATTGTATAATACCAGTTCATCATATTTTAGGTCGATTTGTACTGATTAACTATCGAATTTTAGCTCGATGAAATGCAAAAGAATATTTGACTGTTAATTCAATTAATAGAAAATACTATTTGTAAAAATAAATTGAATGTTTTTAGTATTATTTGACTGTTAATCCTAAATATCAATTATATTTCCTTCTGAAATTTATTTTATTTTAAAATATTTTAGTCTATTTTTGATGTATATCAATCAGATGTAAATCAGATATCAATAGGCTATAAATAATATAAGTCAAATTTTAGCTAATTTTTGATATATGCCAATCGGCAATAAGTATATTAATTAGCTATAAATAAGATAGGTCAAATTTTAGCCGATTCTTGGCTGATTTCTAGTGTATGCCAATCGGCTAGGCCAATTTTTTTGATAATTTACTGAATTTAGGCTGAATTTAGACCAATTTTTCACATATCTGATTTTTTGATTTCGACCAGTAGTGTAATATGTTAAAAGATTGTTTGACTTTATCCGTATGATTTGGGGTACTAGATTTACCACAGATATATATAATATAAAAGTCATGTATAACTTCACTATCTTTAGTGACTACAAATTTTCTAAACAGGTCGATCTCAGCTTTATAAATTCTCCTAAATATACAATCAAGATATGTTTCAATTTAGTTTCTCAAATTAGATAAATATGTTTTGTAAGTAGGTGTGTAGTATAAAAAAACTTTCTCAATATCTGCTGACCTGCTATTATATGTGATAAAGTTAGAAATGAATAGTTAGATGAACATGCGTCTAATAATAAAATTAAAATATGAGTATCTATAAAAATATCACAATAGAACATTATCTTTATTCTGAGCAGGAGGATCTTGTAGAATTTTAAAATATTGAAACTTAATAATTACAGGTATTATTGTTCATCCATAAGGCTAGTTGCATTAAGAATCACATTCAGAAAGCGTAAAAGTTGCTGAAAAAACACATCTTCAAATTATAGACCAATCATTGTATCACTTATGATATGATAAATCATATTTTGAGAGAGTGAAATCGTCTTGTAAAGTTTTAAAAAAGCTATTCTAGTAGTAGGACATAGAGGAAAATATTGAACTTGTTCTCTTTCATCTTTTTTTCAGTATATGAGACTAAGATTCATAAACTTGTAATTGAATCCTACGCTTTTTTTGATCTCATTACCTTTTCAGAGTAAGAACATCACAACAAGAGCATTATGATAAGTAAACTATTAAGTGAGCGTAAATTCATGAAAATAAACTTATGCAACCTTAAAGAAATCCTGAATATTGAATTAATTCAATATAGTCAAGACATTATTATCAGTAAAAATCCTATTAGCGAAAGCAATACTGATATACTTTATCATGTTTATAAGTTCATACAGATTATGGTTTGTGAGATTCATAATCTTTTTCTTTATCAATTCTCTTAACAGAATAGGGTTTATCATATCTAATAACTTTTCAAAAAGTGTAGATAATAGAGGGGTTATGTGAACCATTCAATCAGATATGCTATTTTTTATGTATTCTCTCTTAAACTTTTCTTCCTATAAAGACTGCACAGCAACCTTTTCCACTCTATGCATTTATTTGCATTAAAGGATTAAGTCATGAGTAAAGCTTGGGTATTAGATCTTTAGATTCAAATAATGATCTGTGTTCATTAATTATCAATAGGGTTTTTCTCTTTTGTTAGAGCATATAGTTAATAATAAAATTAGCTACACTTATTAATACCTCTTTATCATCAGTTATATATTCAAATGTAATCATTTTAAAGTTATTGACTGTTAAAATATTCTTATTGAAGGTAAAAATATGAATGCAAATCTCACTCTTTTTCAGATTCTCTAAGAAAAATATTGATAATTTGCTCATTAATATTTTCAACATCATCATTTTTTACTGTAAGGATTACTCAATCTTTAATATAATTGATGTAATTTGCATAATCATTAAAGTTATCATTAATATTATAAAAAATCTTTGATATTAATAATTCAATTTTCTCATTATTAAAGATTATATCATCTTGTAATCTGATAATATTTAATACGCTATCTCATAAAAATTTTCATATATTAAATCATTTGTATCTGAAACATATAGCAAAAGCCACCCTTTAAAGTATACCTAAAATGCAAGGTAATTCTTGTTAACCCATTGACCTGATCGAATTTTCTTAATTGATATATCATGTTCACCTTCACATTCATTATCACTGTCAGATTTGATTACTTTAAGTATATTCTATAAATTTATTATTTGATCTGTAATCAGAAATAATATTTCCTGATAACCCTCTTAATAGCAGTATTGGTAAATAACCTTGATTTTACTATGACGTGATCATATACAAAGTCACCTAGATCATTTTAAAAAAGGGAAATAACCTTAAAATTTGCCAACGCTGCTCTATAGTACTTGAATATTTGACCAAACGAAGGTAACATAATTGTGTTACCTGTCTATACATTATCTAATTATTGTTTGAAATTAGCACGTGAAGCAGATTTGAATCATTTACTGTTAAGCATTTCAACTAATATAGGTAATAAGTATATAAATCTGTCCTAGGCGGTATATTCTACTCAGTCATCTAATTGAATTTTCTTAGTAAGGGTTTAACTTTTAGTGAGAAATATTTATAGGAAAGAAAACGTTAGTTAAATTCATCATAACTTCAAAAAGGTTAATGCGTCACGTTCAAGTTAACCAATCATTATGATGCAAAGGCTTATCTTGATGTTTATCTAAATTGGATTAAGAGGTCAGAAAAGGCAAAGTTAGTTATCAGACAAGAAATTGTGATACGTTATAACTAATTACTATAACGCAAAAGTTTACCAACATATTTTTAGCTTTAATCTTGTCTTTCGTGATTTTTGAAAGAACCGCTTCTATTTTAGTTATATTTCTGTCAGTAAAAAGGCTGAGTAGGCTTGCTTTTTCAATATTATCGAAGGAAAGGTTGAGAATAATATCTGTAATGATAGAACTTATTATTTTTTATTTTGTAAGTTAAAAAAATAAATATTAAAAAAATACTTTAAAAAAGAAAAAATAATTTCTGAAGAGTTTATATATAATTTAAAATTAACTTTGTCAAGCTATATGAATGTGCCTTAAATCTGATTAAACTAATGATTATTATAAGTACGCGTTTTGCATTTTATTTAGCTGATTAAATCATTAGATTCTTAGGTGATACATATTACATCTATCTATACAATATAAAATAATATTTTCCGTAAAATAACTTTTTTGCGATTAAGTGATTTTGAACTTATAGCATAAATTTAGGAGATTAGCAACTGAGATGAAAAAAATAATAT